AGCGTCGCCTCCGGGAGGTCCGCTTCGAGCCATCGCAGGACCTCCGCGGCCTTCGCGCGGGGTCGAACGGCGTCGGCGAGGATTCGCTCCCGCGAGCGGGGCACCGCGGCGGCCCACAACCCCCACCACACGTTCGACCCGCGCGAAGCGGCCTGGGCGTCATCGGAGCCGCTGACGTCCGGGTTGGGCCTCGGAATTTGCATGCGTTCGGAGAGGTAGTCGTTATCGTCTGGGCTCGGCGCGCTCGGGGTTTTGAAATCGCGTGGACTGTGCCAGTGCACAAAGTCAGGGAAGCGCACCACCCGTCCATTTTGAGCCTCGTTGACGTAGAGGAAAAGACACATATCGTTGTAGAGTTCATTTTCATTAAGCCAAGCCTTCGTGAGTTGTGGAGTGGCTGTAGTACTGAGACTATTTAAGTCTATGGCGCGTTGGCTAATGGTATCGAAAGTCGCAGGCGGCTGCGGAAGCGCTGGGGGCCTTACTAGTGGCTCTCCATTTGTAATGAGGACCTCAATTTCATCCGACAAGCTCGCAGTATGGCTATTCCAACCGTCACTGTTCGAATACATTTCCAGCGTAGTCGGAGACACACGCCGAGGCAAATTAATATGCATATGCAACTGTGAAACCGGTGGTGCATCCTTTTTGAGTTCCATCTTTGCATCTCTCTTCTCATTACTGTAGTCGTTTACTGCGCTGAGGTGACCTTTTGACACATTCTGGTGATGACATTCATCCTCTTCGGATAGTATAGCGCGGAGGCAATACACCAATAGCTGGATTTTCTGTACTAAAAGTGACTCTGTGAGGTCGACCGCTGGCTCACGAACCGGAAGCCGAATACGGTTCAACATAAAAAGAATATCTTCTTTTGTGCCACTGTCGAAACGCATTCTTAGTTCGTGCAAACATGAATTCCAAGCATGAAATATGTCTTCCACCACATACTCCCTTTTCATGATAACATGAACGAGCCGTGAGAGCAAAGAACCTGGAAAGTAGGCATGCCGAAGGTCTTTTAGGGACCCTGGCTTGAGACCCTTACCCATTCCCTCTCCAACTGGAAGTTGACTATGTCTATGTAGGAATTCATAAAGTAATTCGGACCCACCATTGGTCCTGTTCCAATCACTACATATGGAATCCTCTTTGGCGAGTGCCTCAATTAAGATTTGTTGAGCTTCACTCCCGACGGAGGCGAAACTCATGATTTCGTCCTGAAATCCTTCACCACATTCACCTAGATCGTCTACGTGAACCCCGTGCGTGGATACAGGCCGCATCGTACAATCCGGGTGGTTTTGCATGTAATCAAATATTTTATCACCCAATATATCTAATGCATCGCAAGAGGAATGATGAAGACTAGCTTCACATCGTGCAACAGCATGGGCAAGGATAGAACACTTTCGATTGACTTCTTCCGCGGAAGGCGAGGTGGCCACCACGAATGGGTCCACCAGACTGAAATTTGCATCTTCTTGGGCTTCATAGTCGTGAAGGTGATTCCACATAAAATCGAATACAATCTTTTCAATCGGCGCAACATCGGTGCCGAAGGGGAGGAAATGGGACCCGCAGACTGAGATCATTTCTTTGTTTTCCCTTTTCACAAGCTCACGCCACGTGTAGCCCTCGTTTGCGATGCCGTTAGCAGACATGAGTGTGGACGGTACGGATGATTCGGGATTCGTTCCGATGTGTCGAAAACGCCAGGGGACGGGAAGCTCGAACCTCTTCGAGATGGAAATGCACACCCCTTTGAAGTTATACATTTCCATCCGACTGCACGGGCCGAGGTGAAGCTGAAAAAGGTTAACTAACTCCGAAAGGTACAGACAACCTCCCAGGCGTTGGCCATAGGCGTTACACCGAAAACGCGTGACCAGTAGCGGGCATAGCAGCATCTGCGCGATATTGGAGGTGTTCGGGTTTTCATTTTGGGATGCCCTATGCGGCAAGGCCGTATCGTGCGCGAGGACCTCGGTCGGCCCAAACCCCGGTGGGGCGAATCCATCAAATGTTTGTTGGTACTCATCTCCTGTGGGAACAAAACAGGGAACGCAGCTGTCGTGAAAGGAAAATAATGACGACAATTCATCCACTCCTTGAGACCTTTTCCCCTCGTTCAGATTCATTTGAAGCCGTTTTGAGAAGACATTTCCTGCAGCAGTGGAGAGGATCGATAGGTACAGGGCAGACTCGCTTGCCTTATAATAAGTATTCCGTGCTGCATTCTTTATAAGAAGGAAAAGCGGCAGACAGAACAAACGTGCTATCGGGTGGGATGTGTCATAGGCGTGAATTTCAACACAAATATTTCCTTCCGACACGAGATCCACCTCGTCGCGTGTTCCTTCAGAGCTCAACTCCACATCAGTCCGACGTTGGACGCATTGGTTCCTAATCGAGAAAACACGTCTTGCAACAAAAGGAGATGAGAGTGATGGATACGACGACGCCCCATACCCTGTGAGACCGCCATGATCTGTTTCCTTTTTCTCCTGTTCCAACAAATCAAATGCGGAAGATGCCACCGATGCGTTGACATCTTCAGATGATCCCTGGGATGTCCATGCTTTTTGATTTTTTTTCCTAGTAAAAAACCTGAGGTCTTCGCAGTTCTCAAAAGATTCCACGATGAACTTTTCTACCTCATCTACCATCGTCTCAAACCAGTTAGTACACGAGTAGTCGTGAATTTCCAATGAGACTTCATCCCCATCGACTACATCTTGATTCGTTTGCTTTTCATGCGTCATTTTCATCCACATTCTTTGATATACACACTATAAGACTTGATTGGCGCAGATTAAGCAAACAGGCAGGTTATTCCCGGTATGATATGAATCATAATAATAATAAAAAGGAATACGCTTGCACAGTGCAACTCTAAAACTGTACTCTGAATAGCAGATACGATATTAAGAAGAAGCACTTGTTTTCTTTTACCTAGGGGAAGAGGTTGAATTATCGAATCGTTTCGATAGCTTTACATATAAGTGAAGCACAAACACGTTTCTTCTTTCCTTCTCGCCCAAACAGGACCATCATCCTTCCACAGAAACGTGCCCAACACACAGAGTACCTTTCCGTACAAGCTCCTTTTGCCGTCCTTTCCTAAAATTGAATGAATCTATGGCTCGAAAAGTCCCCTAGCCACGATGGGCTCAAATCGATTCGTCTCAACGCATAAAAAATACGTGCGCTCTACCACATCGCGATGGTGAATCCACGCCGCAGCCGCGTCTTCATCGGCTACAGCCTGTCCCATGACTCCCTCCCTCACGTTTCCAACGCGCTCTTTTGAGGGGATTGCGCGTCGTCGGGGTGTCTCATTTGCTTCCAGTGCACGCGACGGGGAGGTTTCGGTCGCCACCGCGGCGTGGCGTTTCCCACGACTTTGACGAGGCGTCGAGCGTGCGTTTCGCGCTATCAACCCAGAGGGATGCGCCACACCGTCGGTAGGCGCAGTCGTTTGAGTTTCCTTTGCCTCCTCAACACGTTTCGGCGTGGTCATGGTCTCCTCCGACTGTGGGAAAAGAAGCTCATTTGACGTATTATTTAGCTCCGCTTCGCGCAGCCGCTGCAGGGCCAAGCGCCGCTTGACAATGGAGCTCGCGAAGCGCTGGAGGGTCCGCGAAAAGCGAGGAACCTGCCCATCCTCTTCGACCATCGTGTTTGAATCGGTCCTTTCCTGAGTCCCGTTGTCTGTGTCTTCACGTTCACACTCAGCGGCGGCTTGCATAATGAACCCCAGCACTGCTTCACCCAGCGCGTCAATCAAATGCTCATGATATTCGATGCACATAGTTATTCGCAACTGCTTGACGTCCTCAAGGATCGATTTCCCAATCCGCCACATCGGCTCCAGAATACCCTTGTCCTTTTCTTTAGTTAAAGACGTTGTCGATAGCCGGACTGGTGTTTCATGCCGCCGCTCTTGAAGACTCTGGGCGAGCTGGAGAAGCCCCTCGACCGCGCTGGGGGCTGTCAAGACGAGCTCTGGCGCACACGATAGAAAGTGCCGAATACAGTACGTTTCAATGGCCTTTTCCAGACCAGAGGGTAGCTTTCCGGAGGATACCAGACCGCGAAGGACCGGCTCGTGTTCCGCAATAAGAGCATCTCCAACACGGCCACAACAGCGATCCCGGAGTACGATGTCCGCGTACATGACATCCATGAGCATTTCTAAAAGAAAAAATGATTGATCTGAAAAGGGACTATGATGTGTTTTGCATTGCTCCATTTTTATTCCAAAGGAATCAAAAGCGCGGATACACGGAAAGTATGACCTATCTTTTTCACCTTTACTTACAGAAAGGACACAATAAAGTATTTGATTGCAAAGATTCGTGAACCTCCTCAATATTATAGGTTGGGATTGATGCATCATATTTATCACTTTTCGACAAGCATTAATGTCATGATAAACAAAGATGCTCCTCAAGTATTGTGAACCTGGGATGACACCCCTAAAGAAAGAAAAGCAATAACAACAAATCCTATTCACAACGATCCCCCGCAGAGTAAATTAGAACTCCTAACCTTAACGAAGAAAATGCATAATAAACAGAGGCAATTCAGGTTTAAACCTCTACGCGTTCTGAAACATATGAAGAGATGAAAAAGAGAATCAATTTGATGACTTTGTTGACCAAGAAGAGAGTTCACAAAACATTAAATGCGTAAAGGGAATGAGCCTGGTAAAAAAAAATAAGCAAGAATTTTTTTTCCATGAACAGTATAACCCCACTGATTTGTACGGGGTTATGTGACGAGAGACCAAAACCAACGGATAATCCAAAGACCAAAAGCTTCCCCCTTCCCCAAACCGAGATTGACGTATCTCTCCTTATAAACACACACTACTTCGGTTGTCCATCTCTGGACGACATTCCCCATTTTTTTTGTTTTTTCCCCCCACCTTCCTTCGCTTCTAGACTCCCAACGGGAGGGAGAGGTCAGTTTGAACGGCCTGGTTCACGGTGTTTCGTTTCGCAAACGGCGGCGATTCCCAGGTCGTGGATAGCCCGTTCGGCGGTCTCGGAAGAGCGGGCTTCATGGCATTGTGGTGCGGTCCTTTCATCGTCGAAGGTGAGCTCGGGAACTCGTTAGAGTGAAGCGAGAGCAGGCTGTTGGTGTTGTTGACGAGATCCTCGCGGCCGTCCTTGCTCCCATTGCTGCCGCCTCGCGCCGTCATCGCGTCGTTCGTGTGGTAGTGCATCAAAAGCGGGATGCTCATCATCGCCGAGGTGGAGACGAGCTCCACCTTACTACTTTGCAAGTGCGGGTTCTCGTCGTACGCCTCCTCTTCCTTTTTACTACCACGAAAACGGCGTGCTTGGGGCAGCCTATCGGTCGACAGTTTGCTGTACGGAACGACTCGTTGCGAGGTGGGGGAATCGACGTACTGGGAGTACAAATGGATCTCGGGAACCTTGGTTTGGCTGTTGAAACTTCGTAGAATGGTCTGCGCGACGGTGGACTGAAGGATATCCTGACAGCTCGGGCGCCGCTTCGGATCCCGCTGCAGCATCGCGCGAATCAGCTGCACCATCTCCGGCGGTCGCGCATACGGTGAGTGCGCCTCGATGTCAAGCGCGAGGCTGCCATCCGGCAGCCGCACCGGCAGTGTCGCGTTGCAGGCGAGGTAATACAAAATCATCCCCAGCGACCACGTATCCGAGGCTTTGGTATGCCGATTCAGGTAGGTCGCGCAACGCGGGAGCGCGGCGCACTCCAGGAGCTCCGGTGCCATATACTCCAGCGTCCCCGTCCCCCCGGTGCGCTCGTAGCCGAGGTCGCCGAGCAGCGCGGCGGTGCCGAAATCGCTAACGAGCACCCGCGGCAGCGTCCCGGGCGCCCCGGTCAACAGCAGATTTTGCGGCTTCAGATCGCGGTGGAGGATGTTCTTGCGGTGCAGATGCGTCGTCCCCGCGACGGCGCTGAGGAAGAAATACCACACCGCCAGCGTGGAGAGCGCCGTGCCGTGGCGCTCCATATACGCGTCCAGCGACCCCTCCGTGGCGTACTCCATCAGAATAAACAAACACCGCACCGGGGGGCCGAAGTCCGCGAGCTGCGCCGTTTCAATCCAGCTGTGGTTGTACTCCACGACGTTCGGGTGGCGGTTCACCTCACCAAGAATGCGCACCTCGCGGAGGACTTTTTGGAGGTACGTGAGGTTGTCGCCGACGGGAACTTTCTTCAGCGCGAAGACGCCAAGCGGGACGCCCTCCATCACGTGCTGGCAGAGGTACACCCCGCCGTAGGTGCCGCTCCCGAGCTTTTGCAGCTCGAGGAAGTACCGCGCGTAGTAGCCATCGAGCCCGGTAATGGGGTTGAAGGAAAACGCCCGGGATTTCGTCGCCCCACTTGCCGGATCGCCGTCGCTGGCCTCGCTGCTGGAGGTGGGGCGATACGGCACCGTCTCCCGGACGAGCGGCGGCGGCGGGGAGGAGGAGGTCTCCTCCGTGAAACGACGGCGGCCTCCCGTGGAGCCCCGCGCGAGCGCCGCGGGCGGTCGAATATAACCTAATAACCCCCCCCCTCTGCGCACGCCTCCTCTCCTTTCTTCCTCCTCCTCTTCGTCCGCCCCGATCGCGTAATCCTGTGGCATCGAATCGGTGGGGCTGAGGTAATAGCATAAGGGCATCGCCGAAGGGGGGTTTGTCGAGAACGTTTCCTGATCGTTCCCGCCGTCCTCCTCTTTTTTTCTCTCTCCGTCTTCTTCCTCTTCTTCTGTGAAGAGCTCCGGCTTGGAGTCCCGTGAGGGCTTGGCTCGCTGCAGGTTGGAAAGCGCCGAGGCGGACGATACTTCTCGCGTCGCCGCGGTATCAGGGCTATCCCCAATCGCCAGCGGCATCCTCATCGCTAACATCCGAAAATACCCCGTCGTGAACATACGACTGGCTTTCCGTCGACGTCGGTAAGCGCGCGGAGGGGCCCCGTCGATCGGTGGGGGTTCCATCTCCTCTTCCTCCTCCTCTTCCTCTCCCACCGAGGCGTCGTAGCCGTAAAAAGGGCGTAGGCACGTTGGACAGACTCGACGCGAGGATAAGGCGATGTTGACGCTGGTGAGCGCGCCCGGCCCCACCATTTCATCCCCATCGGTGCTCTTTTGAAGCGAAGATGGAACGAAAGGCACCACCGCCATTTTACTACTCAGCTCGTCGTCTGGAGGGCGGTTGTTTAGTTCGTTGCCACCGCTCTCGCTACTCCGCGAGGTTGGGATCGTTTCCGAGGTGCGCGGAAGAGGTGAACCCGTTGGACGGATTTCCCACTCGCTCGACGGGTTGACGGCCTGCTCTAGGCGTTGAACGTGTGCGCGCAGAAGTTGAGGAAGAATGCCCTCGTTGCTGTCCATTTTCGAGCTCATCTTGATACTAGGCTTGTCAGAATGCTCAAACTAGAATGTTTGAATTCGTCAAACTAAACAACTACAACCCCCACAATTCAATATTTGATTATTGAAGGAAGAGAAAATACCCACTTGTATGAGGTTTATAAAATTTCTAGAAGTATATACGTCTGAAACCATGTAAAAGAAAGCGCAAGCGAACACTATGAATAAAACAATAAGTCAAAAATGACAATATGATATTTTGTTATGATCCGAGGTAAGTCCTGCTATATTTTGTTTTTGATTGTGAACGTTTTCTAAAATTTCGACCATGAAAACCACAAAAAGATAATACCATTAGCGGAAAGACAGAGTAGGAGAGACTATTGCCAGTCAAAAGAGAAGGTTTTCTATGTCAATATATCTGCCCTTTTTCCCATTTGAATTTCATATCTCCTTCTTCCCGTCATTGCCGTGAATCGCTTTTCAAGTTTACTGGATGAGAAAAGAAAGATATAATCCATTCTTTTTTTGTAAAATTATCGAAGCAACTCACCCTTTTCACATACTCAAGCATTTTTCCCCCACGTTTCCACAGCATTGAAGGTTGGAAAAATCGGTCACGACACACCACCATTGGCGTACGCGAAAAAGACCTGAGTAGGAAAACAGAAAGAGTGACGTATTGCGTATACATGCTTGTGAGGACGGAGTTGGGGGGTGTCCGTCTTCATCTATTGCGGTTGCCGCACGGTACATCACAAAACAACTAACCCCACGAAATATATGCTTCTACATGTTAACATCTTTGATGCATTTTTGTAGATCTATATAATGGGTAATAAAATCAGAATGTTGTCCGTTTCTTAGATCTTCGTCATTGCAAATGGGGAAAGATAGCAAGAGAAAAGCTATCGTTGGTGATAACACACATTTATTCTTCCTCACTCAAACACACATATCCCTCTCAGGGCCCTTTAAAAGAATAAAAGACACCGAATTTATTATATTATTCTGATAATCAAAAATAGGGGAATTACAAGTGTGGGCCCCTTCATATCCTATATTCTCCAAGTAGGTGGTGAGGTTTGAAACAATTAATAGATATATTTCTACAAGATTCGTTAGAAGTCAAGATTTTGGAATCATTTTTTCTGATAAATATGCATTCTCAAACTAGATGCTACCGTGAAGAGGGTAATATGAGATTTTGTAACAAAATAACACTATTCAAAATATTATCACTACAATCCCAAGAAGACATCCAATAACATATGCAATTAACACTAGTAATAATAATAACCATAATAATAAAATGCGAATATCAACCGTCCAATCAAAGGAAGTCAAGCGGCCGTATCATAGAATTTCCTATGTGTTTCTTCTCTTTCTATGGGTTCACTTTCGACACGTGCACAGTGTACGTAGTCGATTCAACGCGGCTCCAATCTCAAACACGCGCGGTAGTGTGGTAAATCCCCTGGGCAGGTAGCACGATTTAGCTTGACATTCCAGCGCAGCATTTCGAAGCCGCCACTCACAGTGAAATACCAACCGGCTTATGTGAGAATAATCCCCTGGTTGAAACGCAAGAAAGCTGTCAATCAGCGACGGATAGCACAACCCCGGCGTCATCTGCTGAGCACGACTATTATTACTATTATTATTTGGAATACCTCTGCCCTGCCCATGATATGATGGCGCAGGGTGGGATTGAATCTCTTCGGCCGCTGCAGCGCCGTCATCGCGTAGCATCGCTAAACATTGCGCGATGGCGTTGAGTTGGCCTTCCTCTACAAGCTGCTCAACCAAATCTAGGTGAATGATTTCATCATCCAGGCGAATGGTGTTAAGACCACTGCCGCTAATCTTGACGAAATCTCGGCTGTTATTACGCCACGTCCAGTTGAACGTGCCGCCGTATTCCAAATGACGTTTCAACGGCAGTTTAATAAGCGGTGCTGAGTCGACATAGCCACGACCGCCACACCGCATCATTGCTTTCTCATCCGTTGCCTCTTCTTCCGATTGCTTCCCCGCAACGCGAAGCTGCTCTTCCGCCTTAGACAGTTCTTTCGCCCGCGACGTAACGTCGGAGACGGTGTAGCTGTTCATCATCAGCACTAAATCCGCGCGCGCGAAGTACTGCCCGGACCCCCCAACCACCATGATTGTGGAGACGCCGTGCTGAGCGAACAGGCCGCGTACGGTTTCCACAAAAGGCGTTATCGGCTCCAGATCACGCGGTACGAGTTGCTGCATTAGGGCATCACGATACATAAAGTTTGTCGCCGAGGTATCCTCGTCGAGGAGGATCGCGGTGCTGCCGAGCTCGACCGCCTCGATGATATTCGCCGCTTGACTCGTGCTCCCGCTGGCGTCGTCCGTCGCGAAGGCGGTCGTATCCTTCTTGAAAGGAAGGTTGTTGATAAACAGCGATATATCCACCCCGTTGATACTCCTGCGGTCCTCTGCACGGATCTTCACACCGGTGGGATCGATCACCACAAACGTACGGCCGTCATTGGGTATATGGTTATACACGCCAAGCTCGAGAGCCCTGAGGAGCGTCGACTTCCCGTGAAATCCCCCTCCGGTAATTAAGGTGATGCCCTTCGGCAGCCCCATACCGGTGATCGATGTGCCACTAAAAGGCAGCTTGAAGGTCCAACTTAGTGTAGGTGGCGACTTAAAAGGGACAGCGCCTTCCAGGGGAAGATCCGAATCCCCTGCCGCGCGGGGAAGAACAGCACCATCCCGCACAAAAGCTACCAGATCATTCGAGTGCAGCTGCTGCCGTAGCCAAACCTGATCAAGCAGCGACGCCACATGGCGTTGAAGCGCATGCGGGTCAAGAACGCACACTTTTTCTTGAATGGCGGGCTGCAGCTCCTTCAGCAGAATCCTGAGGCAGGCCTGACTGTCAATTCGTCTCCCCTGCCCCGGAAGTTTCACGCGAAGAAAGATCAGAATCGTATCCGAGGTGAGGCTAACAGAACTCCGCGGTAACACATGCTGCGATGGCTTCAATATCTGAATATTGCCACTTCTGTGATACATCCGTAACCCATCCCACAGAGATCTCAATATGAAATCCTCTACCGCCACCCGACAATGCCCCCTTATAAGTTCAACGTAAGAATCCCTTTCCAGATCACTGGCGGTATCAAGGCTTTCTATGGTACCAGAATAGGCTGAGAGGAGTGTACTCACGGAAAGAAACTCGGGAAGCGGTACACTTACGCATAGCTGGCTACCTGGGGCGTAAGGATCAGGTTGAATGTGGATAAATGACAGCGTAACCAATTGGTTAAAGGGTAAGCTATACACTTTATTGTTTAAAGCGTGCAGCCTTGAGTAATTCGCACCATCTAGACTTGACAAGACAGGAACAATACTTCCATGTGATTGATAATTCTCAGGCTGTTCACAACCTCCAGCAACTTGGGCTTCTCTATAGCGCTTCTGATGGTAGAATTTTTTTTTAAAAGAATCGTTAGAGTCCATTCTAAAAAATAAAAGAATGGTGTGCTTATTTAGAACTTAATAACTAAACCTTAAGAATACTTCTTATGATACTCTAATACGTGTTAAAGAGCAAATGAAGAAAATAGGCAAGAAATAAATTTGAGCAAGCAAAAACACGAAAGAACAACACTACGTAGCCTAGTGCAGTTCACAGCCACTTGAAAAATTTTAAATGATGGCAAGTAGTAATCGCACTGAATCACATGCATTCCTCTCCGTCGACTCTACTCAGATATCATTAACGTTGTTTCTATCATGTTGGATAAATCAAATTATACATGAACCTTCGTTTTCATCATCATAGTAGGCACAGAAAGGGGGTGGAGAGAATAACAAGGAGCCCAGCTATTAGACTTAGAAATTACATTCTTATACATTTTACACGCAAACAAGAATCATCACAAATGAACAGCATCCTCATCACAGAGCTCCTAAACACACACGACGACGGGTATCAGTTGGCAGATCTCAACACTGGGCGGGGCTACTCTCAGACAGGGATAACTCTTTGTGTGGTCGGCATCTATTTATTCTAAGACTAGAGGTGTCAATAGGCAACACAAATGGTTTCATCATCACCGTAGTAGCCACAACCCTTGCGCCAAACTCCACAACAGGCAAGCGAACTTCAGAAATGAACGCGTTAGAATACAACGCGCGGCTTCCCTCATTTGACACCGGATCAGACAAGAGTGAAACTACAAAGGACATCACGCGCTCGCTTGCCAACTCTCCACACTGCGGGCCGCCTTCGCCCGCTGCACACCACACACACACACACACACACACACACATACATACATACACTTACAGCGGCAACAGACAGGCACTGAGTGGTAGGCCCCGCGAACCTCAGACGAGGGGAATCACTTCGACCCCTGTTGGGCAAAAGAGAGTTCCCCATAGGTGTACGTCATCCTGGTCGGGCATATGACGGCTCTTACCTAAGGAAATGGTCATCACGTGTCGCAGGGCCCACCCCTGGATTGGGGGGTACACGCAGGGCGGGAGAGCGTGCGATTCACAGTTACAGCAGTCATGGTGGCTTTCCAATCAGCAAAATGACGAAAATGTGTCAGTCACGGCACCTTCAGCGGTATCGGAGTCATGCAGACGAAATACCATAGCTGCGTATTTCGCACATCATGTGGAAGCCTTTTACGAGATTCCAAACGCATCGCTGCTCATGCACGCCACACACTAAACACACACGACGACGGGTATCAGTTGGCAGATCTCAACACTGGGCGGGGCTACTCTCAGACAGGGATAACTCTTTGTGTGGTCGGCATCTATTTATTCTAAGACTAGAGGTGTCAATAGGCAACACAAATGGTTTCTTTATCTCGAGTCCTCTATATTTTCTTATGTGTTGTGCATTGGGGTGTATCTTTATTTTCCTATTTTTTTTTTTTTGTTAATGCTAGTGATTAGTATTTTAATTTGATAGGATGGATTTTTATTATCAATCATGCTATTTAAATTTATATTGACATTATTTCATATTCTTGACGACTTCTTTTTTATTTGTAGTCGTCTAAAGAAGTAATTATAAATAGAATGTTCACTTGTTTATCACTTTTCACACGTGCGAGATATGAGATTTTATCTAGTAAGGTACCCTTAGATTTTTCAGGATTTTCATTTACTATTCGCAAGTTGAACTTGTGAAAAGAATCCTTTCCTATTATAGATTATTATTCCTTGATGAACCGATGTCTGTGAGCGTCAATCGACACTTTCTTTGCTTCCAACGTTACTGACTGCCTAATTTCCCAGATGCAGCGTCTTTCAACCATTGATAGGGCAACTCCTGTGCTTTCAATTGTTCTTCGAATTTCTTTTTAATATCAATTGCCATATACATACCATTGCGTACTTTACTGATGCATCGATCCAAGCATGCTTTTTCACCTGGATGATAGGGTATTGAATCTTCACCGTAGTGTGTTATGCATTTGCGTGCGCAGAACATAAAGCCCTCATTGCCTATATGGTGGAGCTTCTCCGATAGAATAACTACTTCATTTTGACTAAGCCCCGGGAGATTAATGTTGGGCTGCACCGGTTGCATGGTATCAATCGTACTTCAAGAGAGAGAATACACGCAATTGACAAACTAGAGCAAACACAACAATAAAGCCCTATAGAGAACACAAATGTTTGCTGTATCTTGAATCGTCACACCACACCACTCTATGTTGTTGTGGAGCTCAAAAAAAATGGGATAGTGAACCAAAGGACACATGAAGTTGACATAGTTCTTTGACGAGAAAATACATCTTGCCTTTCCACCATAGGGACTGTATGTCGCTGTAATAACTGCACTAATTGAAACGTTTTTTCTTTTTTAAACTTACAATATAGACTCAAATAAAACCAAACTGTCCTTCCTACGTAGGCGGAAAGGGAAGGCCTACTTTTGTATGTATGCTCTATTACCCTCCCCTTCCCCTCTCCAAAGGAATGATACGAATTAAATCGGCATGTGTTTCTGGTGGACTGGAGGTGGTATTGGTTATGGGGAAGACCAAAATCCAAAGGTTCCTCGAGATATAAGCGCCCCTTATTAATCTCCTCTCATTCTACGATATTGGGTTTTTCCTTCATCGCCTTTTGTTTTGCAATCCTTGCGCGGACTATGAACATGTAATGGCGTCCAATGCAAAGGTGAGCGAAGAAGCTTTTTTCCTTTTTCCTCCGAGTTGAAAGCATCGTGTTTTGGGGAGGTATCCATCATTCAGAGGATCTGCCCCTTTCCCATATTCCTTCTCTTCTACCGATCATAGTTCCTCATTTCACCCCTTCCCCTCCTTCATCGTCGACATTCGTCCGCCGAACTGGCGAGGCCGCCCAATTCCCCACCTCCGTCGCCTCCACGAAATCGCGTTTCGGAAAGTTTAGCGGGCTGCTCACCATTGATTCTGCCCCCAACGTCGCGTTGGGATCGACCACCACGGAGGACGCAACGTCAACATGGCGTGAGAGAATCGGGGAGAAGCGGGCGCCGCTCGTATTCCCCTTTTCCCCCTTTTCGACTTCTCTCGAGAGGTCCTTCGCCGCTCCCTCGCCGCCACTTCCTGAGGGGAGAAGCGGTGGCGGCGTCGTGCGATTTGGCAGCCACTGCGATGCCGCGTCGGGCTCGTCGTTTCGCCGCGCCGCCGTGGTAGAAAGGGGCGCCAACGAAGATGCAGAAAAAGGCAAATGAAAGGGAGGGGCACCCGCCGGGAGGGGGGCGTTCGTGCGGATTTCACGCGAGCCGTCCGTTCCGTTCCCTTCCCCTTCCCCTTCGCCTTCGGTGTTGTCTTTTTGTTCGTTTTCGTTTCCCCGCTTTGCGGGGGGGATGTCATCCTGCGCGGGGTAGACCTGGGGCCGGTAGACATACGGAATGCTCCCATCCGTGTGGGCGGCGACGTTACGCTGAAAGGCGAGGAGGTGCTGTTGATACCGCCGCCGGTCGTCGGCGTAGATCCGTTGCTTCTCCGCGAGCCCCGCCACGGCGTGGGCGAGGGTTGACGGCGTCAAATGCGTCAAACGCGCCTCGACGTAGGCGGGAACATCCCCGCCGACCACGCGAAGCTGATCGGCGTGAAACCCGCGCGGCAGAAGCCGACGGAGGCAGGCCTCGTCGCCGTCGGGCCCCCCACCCGAGGGGAAAAAGGCGCCAGGGTCGGTTTCCCTTGTCGGGGGGGTCGAAAAACGCGTGGCCGGGGGGAGGGCACCCCCCCCCCACGCGGTCGTTTCGACGCCCCCGCGGAGGAATTCCAGGAGCGCGCGACGGCTCGTTCCGGTCGGGAGCTGCGACGCCGCGGCAGGGGGCAGCCCACACGGCCGCGCGCTCACACGGAAGCGGTTGCAATCCACCAGCCCCGGGCTGAGCAGGTGCGCGGTGAACCCCACCTCATACCGCTCACTCGGATGAAGCAGAAAGATGAATTTGGTTTTCCCCACGAAGAACATCGCGCCTTTCGCGCGGGACGGGGGGGCGATCCCGGGCGAGGGTTTTTTCCGCCCGCCGCCGGGGGGGTTCCGCGGCGACCTCCACCAGCAGCGCGACGCGCGCGAGGGAG